TTAAATTTTAAAGTAAAACATTTTTAATATTGGCAGTGTCACAGACATCAACACAAATACAACAGTCTATTCCCTGAAATTGCAAGTCAGGGGTTTATATGGTGTACAACACAAATACTGGCTATTAAACATTAGTAACAATACCAATGTTTTGTTCTTCAGTCATTTTGTCCAGTAGATATCGTACAACTTAGCGAAAGCATATTCAGATTTATATTCCATAGTGAAGAGCTCCAAAGAATAACCTCTTCATTTACAGAAACAAATTCTGGTTTACACTGTAAATGTCTTAGTCATGGTGTTAATTCTAGGTGTTGTTTTCAGTGATAGGACTTTGTGTATAGTGAATCCTATTATTTGTAATTCCGAGCCGGTGATCACCTATGTTTGTCATTGTAAATACAAAGTTGGCAACTAACGTGTAAGTGTGAGATTTATTATTTTTACACGCAGTACCCTGGAGCTTAAATAAATACTATTTAAGTTATGCATTTTATGTATTACTATCCACCATACAGTATACTGCTAATGTGACAATACAGTACATGCTTATTACTTCAAAACTACCACATAATAAAAAAGTACCAGCTTTGTATCATCCTTTGCAAATAACTCAAAAAATAAATAAATGTCAGTTTAATAGAAGACAAAAAACTGCACATACTTATCACTTAAGCCTTTCAATAAGTAATTATTTTAATCAAATAAAGCACTAAACCATTTGGGGCTCTCAGTGCCTTTCAAAGCACAAATAACAACAAAGCTGAAAAATGTATAGATGTAGTTTATTACCAGCACAAAAAAAAAATTCCTAGGAATGTCTCTAAGCACTTAAAAATATACCTTATAATACATACAATACATGAAAGATACCACATTATCATAACTTGCTGGTGTGAAACACGGGGGTAGGAAGGGTGAATTAAACCCAGTGAAGAGCAATGGTGGTATGTGCACAGTCTGAGTAAACATAAGAAATATTGTTAGTACAAAGGTCGAAGTTTTTAAGAGGAAACTGAATCATTATCTCCAAGTTCCTAATCAGCCAGGATGCAATGGTTATGCGAGGTGCAGAAAACTAGCAACACCATTATTACAGTGCCTGAGGAAATGTTAGTTAATCTGGTTTGATCCATGGAAGGGAAGTTCAGGTCAAACTTTTTGTATCGAAAACCCTCATCAGCATCAAGGACAAACCTAGTCACAAGTATGAAATCATAAATGATCTTGTTTTTACTAGTATCCAGCTCTCAGGCAAGGTCTGATTTTCCTCATATAATTATAATGTATTCAATTATAATTTATTTAAAAATGGTCTTACTATAGTCTAGTCCCCAGTTCTCATGAAAAGAGCCAGTTTTTTTATCCAACAGTTTTTACGAATGATCTCACTTTTGTCTGATTCCCAGCTCTTGGAAATTTCCTTTGAAGAGCTAATTTATGTAAACATTTTTACTTTGCTTATAGGAATGCAGTTTCACAAGGAGCATATACAGATGCTATTATGTTATGTATTTATGGAAGAAATCTAATAGGAAGTATGGGATACGAGAAACTAAGAGTCATCTAAAGGTTCCTATCCTAAAGTTTGGTATGTTAATTATTCCAGCCACAGGATTGTAACTCATTCTTCATAAGATGTATCCGAACTAATGATATTTTGCTGTGACTCGGCAACTTCATTCATGTTAAAAATACTCACTGTATAGACCCCAAGATTATCAAAATGCTAAACCTGAGGGAATCATACAGCACCTAGGGAATAGGAGGTAATTAGGTTTGATCCAAGGGTAGGGTAGCTCACATTCCTTCAATCAGGAGCTCTTCTTTGGTATCAAGACACCCTACCCCATGATGGGTGTAGGTAACTAAATGTGTGTCACTGTGGGATCCAAGAGATACCCCATATTCCAATGCCCTAGACCCACGTAGTATCTCAGTTTGAGAAAGAGGCTTATGAGCTGTACCTCAAAGCTCCAAGATGCAGAGAAGCTGCAGTTCAACTATCTCCAAAGATTCAAGGAGTTATACCTCAACCCTTCCTAGAATTCTAGAAGCGAGAGATACTTCTAAGAGGCCCATAACACTCAAGATACTAAACACTGGGTGTGTTTCCTTACACCAGTTGTCCTGTTTACCTGGCAAGCAAGTAGGTACCTGGGTGTTAGTCGACTGGTGTGGGTCGCATCCTGGAGGGCAAGACTGAGGACCCCAATGAAAATCAGTCCTCGATGATGCACTGCCTTATTTGGGTTATCCTGGGTGGCTAACCCTCCAGGGTTAAAAATCCGAATAAAATCTTATCTCTTATAGCCTAAATGGTATCCTACCCAAGTCTGAGGATGAATCCCAAACAAAAAAAAAATATTCCAAATCTAAGATTAATTAGTCTATGAGGAACATTACACCGTAGGTTACTCCAACAATAGAAGGAACATAAGGCAGAACAAGCCTAGTCTTAAGAGAAGCCCAAAACAAACAATCTTTCGACTGAGAACCCATGCAAGAGGAACTCTAGTGTGGAGAGTATACCAAGAAATGTTAAAAGCGCTAAACGCAAAGGGGTACCTCAATACTGCACGACAAGAGGGTGCTTAAGTTGATAGGGTGAGGTGTGGTGGGTAGGTGCAAGTATGAAGGGGAGAATGTTATAGTTGCTTCAACTTACAGAAGCCTAGGTAGAAATTGAAGTGTGCCACCACTGTCAACGAGTTCATCACCACAACTTGTCAAAACACCTGCACGACTGCACCAATGTCAGCAGCAGCAGCTGCAGTCGCTGTAGCAGAATGAAGAGCCTTGTCACTGGAAAATTATGAGATCCTTTACTGTTTACATTTCATCCACATAGTGAACTTTATCACATCACAAACATATTACTTGTTTCTTACTTAATAAAGCCCACTGTGTAGGCGAGACATTAGTCAATAAAAGTTCTCATAATGCATTTTCTCTGTCTTTCCATCTTGTCAGTATTTTATACGATTTCTATTTAGCCCCGTCACTCGCAGCACCCACGGCTAGTCCAGGAAGCCACCACAAAGATCAGGAGAAAGAAACTAATACCTACCCCAACACAAAACACATCAGGAGAAAAGGAAAGAAGGTACCATTATGCATCCACTTAAAAATACACCTGGTGGTTCTCAGAGCTCCTGAAAATCACAGTCATCCACCTCATCATTGTAAAAGCCCTAAAAAAATTCATATCACATATTCAAGTCAGGAACAAGAACCAATTACCTCTGTGCCGCACAAGACCAGCGACAGATGGTGTAATAAATCAGTCGTAGTTATCAAGACAAGAGAATCTGTATTAAATATGGTTCTTTCGGAGAGAAGGGTTGCTAGTGTGAGTATTAGTGATGAAGGAATCTTTGAAAATGAAAGCTATGTGCTCCTTAAAAAATAAGTAGACAAAGCATTATTATAATTGTGCCTAGGAGGTATCACAGACTATGGCGAATTACAGTCCAAGTTTACAATATATCTATATACAACTAGTGCCAATGAAAAACGTGAATCATGAGGCATCTTGTATACAAGTGGAAATTTCTTGTTCCAGAAGAGCTATGACCCAATACGTTACTAGATTTGTAGCCATTTAGGAATCACTTTATAAGGTCATTATGTGCAAATCGTTGCCAATAAAGGTTCCATATAGCTCCATTTGTCTCTTGAAAATTCCTAATCAACTCTAGGAATAAAAGTTAAGAAAGGCAACCAAGAAGAAGATCAAGACGAACAAAACAGAGACAACAGGAATGAGGACGAGAGAGATTTTATTAAGAAGTTCATGGGTCTGAAGGCTACTTTTGAGAGACTTACTCTTAGTTGGAGGAACTTGGCTGTCTCTGATGCTGTTAGCCTTACTCTTAGTGTATACTGGGGCAACTTGCAACCGTCTGTGTGTCGGTCGAGACTCGTCCTGCAGTGCTATGGCTCTCAGACGGAAGTTCTCAATAGCGACAAGAACAAGGATGATGATGAAGTCCGTGGAGATAAGGCAGATGTACCACACGTCGATGTGTTTGAGGTAAGACGTCTTGGGTATGATCTGACTTGTCTGGTTGAACAACTGAGCCAATACCAGCAGTGACGTCAGCGATACCATGATGCGGTCCTGCTCACAAGAATTTGAGAACTTAAAACTTAGCATGAGGATCTCCGTTGATTAGGATAAATCAGTTTTGCAAATTAATATGTTCGGTTTATCTGCAGCATCACGCCCAATATTCTGGCAACATAAGGCTACGAAAGTGATCGTAGTGTTAACTTTCAAAGATTAAATTTGGAAAGCTATGTGAATAATTTAGAACGTGGGGAGAAATTTAAAACACAAAACGCATAAAGCTAACAACTACTAAAATAATTATGCGACCAAAAAAAAGTACCGAAAAAATGAGTGCCGCAAACGTACAGGGGTAATTATGCCTACTTAGACTTAACAAAACAACAAAAAAAAGCAACGAGAAAACAGCTAGTATGCCAAGGAAGATGATGCTAAATAACCCATACAGGGTTTGACGTTTTTCTGTAAACACAAAAAATAATAAACATTATTAGAGCTAGAAAATACAGACTTATTTGTATAAGTGTGAGAAAACTAACCTGGAAGTCGTGGAGGTCAAAGAAGAGAGCGAGGTAGCAGATGACCACCATCAGCAGACTGGGCACCACGGCATTACCAATGTAATATCCATACTGGTTTCGAAACTCCAGCACCATCTGGACAGATAGACACCGACATATAATTCTAAAGTCGATTTCGGTTTATAGTAAAGCACAGACTAGTTGAAAACAAGAGGCAACAATCTAACTGTGGGAACATCTAAATGGCTATAAATAAAAAAGAAAATATGCTAGCAATCCTCCAGTGTACCTTATTCAATAGCAACCAACAGCCTAGCTGTGAAAATAATAAAGTATGTACGTTTACATATTTTCCATTAGTTAAGTTATGCGAGGCGAATATTAATTAAGACTGAAATTTGTGGGTGGATGAGTGAGTTGTAAACAGGAAACTCAATGCGAATTATTAATTCACAAATCCAACAAGGAGGCATACATAAGGGGGATTACCAACAGACCCCTGGCAGTCTTCAAGCTGGCACTGGACAAGCACCTAAAGTCGGTTCCTGACCAGCCGGGCTGTGGCTCGTACGTTGGTTTGCGTGCAGCCAGCAGCAACAGCCTGGTTGATCAGGCTCTGATCCACCAGGAGGCCTGGTCACAGACCGGGCCGCGGGGGCGTTGACCCCCGGAACTCTCTCCAGGTAAACTCCAGGACTTAATTAATTCAGCGAAAAGGTCACTGCTGGGAGAAACGTCTTCACAATAGATTAGATTTTAGATTAGATTTTGCCACCGAAGTGGCTAGTTTATTGTGCACCCCATATCCATCCTGTGGACGGTAGCGCGAGAGCATATGGATACACAAAAGGCCTAGGAACTAGGCCCCAAATGGTTAACAGGAATACATATGGATTTATATCTACATATCTATAGTTCACTTAACTGTTACAAGCAAATTTAGGAAATTTGCTTAGTATATCTGGTATCTTATTTTCATTAATAAGATATCTTGACATATCACATAGGTTATTATACTGTCTGTCTCTGTATTCCTCAATAAGTGGACAATTAAGCACATAATGTTCAAGAGAGTGACCATATACCTGATCACATAATTTACATTTAGTTTGATCATCATCTGTGTGTCTCCCAAACTGCCAGAAGTACTTGTAAGCAAGTCTAAGCCTGGCCACTACAACATCAGTCAGTCTGTTCACATTGCAAGTAGCTCCATAAACATACTTATCTACGTTCATGTTATCATAGTGGGTTATAGATCTACTCAGGCTTCTAACTGCATTCCTATAACAATCATTTTCATTATTTACTTCTCTCCTAATATTATTCCTAATGCTAGACACAGTTATACCAAAGTTATATTCTACATTCTCCTTCTTATTTACATACTGTTGGTACACTACCACTGTTACTACCATGAGTACGTTGGTATACCTGGATGTCACCTGGCTGGTTGTCAGGACCCATCATCTGCTCTCCGACACATTTGTACTCCAGTAGCCTTCTCTCCCCGGTGAAGTTGACACCACCCTGGGAAAGCACAGAGTTAATGCCCCATCGTACAACACTACCATCACCTCCAATAAAATTCACAGCTTATACACTAAGTATACAACATGTATATATTGTCTGGCTCAACATGCTACATTACCTTAACGGTCCACTCCATCCCTCCCCCCCCCCACACAGCTTTAAGAAGAGGTATGATAAAGCTCATGAACCAGGGAGAGTGGAGACCTAGTAGCGACCAGTGAAGTGGCGGGGCCAGGAGCTATGAATCTATTCTTGCAACCATAATTAAGCGAGTACAATTAGGTGAGGCGGCTACGGTGAAAAGCTCTGTTCCACAAGGAACAATACTCACTCCCATCTTGTTCTTCATCCTCATATCGGACATAGACAGGGAGCCACAGCGCTGTGTCTTCTTTTGCAGATGACACCCGAATTTGCATGACTGTCCTGCATTGAAGACACCGCAAGACTCCAAGCGGACATCAACCAAATCTCGAAGTGGGCCGCAGAAAACTATATAAAGTTCAACGATGAGAAATTTCAATTACTCCGACATCGAAAACGTGAGAAAATTAAAACTACATCGGAGTATAAAACAAATTCCAACCACACAGCAGAGCGAAAAAATACTAATGTAAAAGACCTGGGAGTGATCATGTCAGAGGATCTCACCTTCAAAGACCGTAACATTGTATTAATTGCATCTGTTAGAAAAATGACAGGATGGATAATGAGAACCTTCAAAATTAGGGATGCCAAACCTATGATGACACTATTCAGGTCGCTTGTTCTATCTAGGCTGGAAAATTGTTGCACACTAACAACACCTTTCAAGACAGGTGAAATTGCTGACCTAGAAAATGTAGAGAGAACCTTCACGGCCCACATAACAGCGATAAAACACCTCAATTACTGAGATCGCTTGAAATTCCTAAACCTGTACTCCCTAGAATGCAGGCGGGAGATACAGGACTATATACACTTGGAAAATCCTAGAGGGATTAGTACCAAACTTGCACACGAAAATTACTCCCTATGAAAGCCAAAGACTCGGCAGACGATGCAACATCCCCCAATGAAAAGCAGGGGTGTCACTAGCACGTTAAGAGACAACACAATAAGTGTTAGGGGCCCAAGACTGCTCAACTGCCTCCCAGCATACATAAGGGGGACTACCAATAGACCCTTGGCTGTCTTCAAGCAGGCACTGGACAAGCACCTAAAGTCAGTACCTGACTAACCGGGCTGTGGTTCGTACGACGTCGGGTTGCGTGCGGCCAACAGTAACAGCCTGGTTTATCAGACCCTGATCCACCATGATACCTGGTCACAGACAGGACCGCGGGGGCGTCGACCCCCGGAACCCTCTCCAGGTATACACACAAACAGAAAGGT